GGCCACACTCAGTACGCCTTATTCAGCCTATCTGGTTGACGAGATGAGAATATTCATCAGCATATCCGAGTCAGCACCCATCATGAGATGGACGATGACACTTGAGGGTAGGCTGAAGCCTCACTATTCTGACTATCACCATCCGCAGCTTTCCGACAGTAAATACCGTGTTGACTAAAGGTGTTATACGAGCGCGAGAGTATGCACGATGAGGAGCCAATCACTAGAACACAAAGGTAAATCTCGGTTCGTTCGAAACGACTCATATTGATCTATGTACCTAGAATACAAAGGTAACTACGAGCTGTTAGTTCAACGTTAACGGCGGGTACGACAAAGATACTCACATCTCAGTTCATTTGAAACGACTGAGATGTTTGGGCGCTGCACTTCGTGCTTATAAGGTAAGTGGCGTGGTTACAGGAATATATGATTGATAGACATTGAAAAGATTTTAGGACGCGAGCCGACGTCATACGTCGCTCGTCTTCGTCCTGTTTGGCGTGCGCTCGGACCTATCTGTCCTTATCGCTCGGATCCTTCGGCCTCTCTCAACTCTGATCTTCCCCTTGACTCGGACGTCTCGGCCTCAGACTCCAACATTGACAACTCGACCCATCAGTGTCATGGCCTATCCACGTACCACTGACGTCCGGCATCAAACATCACACCATTGTCTGTAATATTGACGCACCAGCAGATGGTGATTATGTTGCGCTCCGTGGCGCAAACATGCTTTTGTTGTCCAGGTGTGGAGATGGAGGGGTAAGATCAGGTGACACTGGCGTTGCCTAGACGCACATATGAGCTGATTGAGAGAAAGCAAAACCCAGCACTGTTTCTGTGACCTGATTTCTGAGTTCAATTGAGATTGGGACTTTTGGTCCTAAAAATAATGAATGGTATCAGGCAGCGGGAAGCAGTCGGTGGGTGCGGACAGCACGGAGCAGTTGGAACACATTTTATGCACGCCTCCGTGGCCTGACTGTGCCACTGAGAGTATGTATATTGATCGGTGCGTCAAACCGTTGAACAATGCTTTGTCGAAGACCTTGATATGTCACTTAGCAAAAACACTCTAATCCATACACCCTTCCGTCATCATTGCTCTCAGCTTCGCAACCTCGACCCGCGGAATGACGTCAATTTCAAATGGCGCTGCATGGGAAATGACTGCGTCACTGAAAGCCTGAGTGTTGATCGGTGCGTCAGGTCGTTGAACAATGCGGAAAGACCACAAGAGAAGTGCGAGGGTAATGTACAACGAGCGGTTTGCGAGGTGCAGGCCGGGACATGCACTTTTAATGACAAATAAATTTCGTTAATCGACGTCCGAAAACCGATGTCGGCACGACTTACCGCCTACCAAAGCCATACGTGATGAACTTCATATTGTTTTCCTTAAGGCGGCCTTCTGAATCAAGCCAGCGCTGGGGATTGAATATTTCAGGATCTGGGAAGACAATAGGATCGCGAGAAAGAGTCCTGAAAACACGGTCAACGAAACAATGTACGTCGTGAAGCAACACCATACCAGTGGCAGCCGTAGACTGTTGCGCCCTCGGGAATGCAGTATCCTCGCTGATTCCACGCGGACTAGAATGAGAACGTGGGTTACAGAAAATTAAGACACTGACCCATAAAATATCCTTTGTGGCACGGTGGGGAAATCCTGAGGCACATGTCAGCATCGTGCAAGAACGTGCCGAAATTCAAATTTACCTATGCGAACGATGGGTCTCCATCTCAGAGTTTCCAACAAGAACGCATGTAATTGCGGGAGGGAACTTGAGTCATCAAATGTCGGCGCTACAACGAGAGATCAAATGATGGAGATATCAAAATCTTTGTACCCCTCACCCCTGTCGAACCCGATCACCATATCTAGCTCCTCATGCACCTTTGCCTGAGCCAGTGGGTGGCATGCTGCAGCCATAACAGTAGCAGTAATTCCAACGGCAGTCTGAACCAGGAGTAAGTTCGCAGAGATAAATGAGTTTCATGGCTTGCCGTATCAGATCCCGCCCTAAAGAGTGATCCGGCGAGATACGACATCTCATCTGTAGAGAGTTTGTGTTCTTCAGTATTTTCCAATAGTGCCTTGGTGAAAGAGAGGCCAGCTTTGTTTTGATCCTGCGTACAACAAGATATAAGTGACATACATTCATCAAAACAAAGAGCCCTTCACCATTTCACTCTTGACGCGCCTTAGCTGACGCCTAAATAGCTCAACCTCCTCACGATGCCACTCGTAAAGTTGCTTTCCGTAACCAGGCAAGTAGCGCAAAAGGGGCACATGATCGACGAGATAAGCTCCTGGGCGAATCGAGGCTTGAAAATGCTTGGCGACTTTGTAAATACGGACAACTTCGGGATCGGTGTTGGCAGTAGGCGTAGATTTCCCATAAGCCACTCGAAGAATGACTGATGCTGCATACCTTGAGATACCATATCTATGAAAATATCACAAAGGGCCTTGGTAGTGACATACCGCTGTGCGTGCTTCTGGAGGGCCGTCGGGTCATTTAGCATATCCAATATGAATTTCATCGCGTTCTCGCGCTGCATATCTTGGTATTCCTCTGCCGCCTTTGGCTGCAAATGAGGATGTACTGCTTTTCGGAGGCGCCGGAAGCGTTCTCCGTAACGAGCCATGGTGAGACTCAATCCATTTGAGAGCATCTCACTCGCGGCAATGGAACGAGGTCGATCTACTAGTGATCCACCCTCTTTCTCCATAATGTCTACAGCTGCCTGTTACATGGGTCATTGTCGGAGAAAGCTTAAGGTTTGCGCAAATTACCTCCACGCTGCCAATGACAATTATCACTTGGCTGCCTTGTCGGAACGACACAACAGGCCCATACTCTCGAACTAAATTGGTCAGCGCATAGGCGATGCTGAGTAGACGATCTAAGTCAACCTCTAACATTCTGTATGATACTGCCAAAACTCACTTCACAGCAGGCAAAGCGTTGCTCCAAAACCAACGGGCGGGAGGTCCAGGCGGAAGGAGGATGCCCTTCCTGTCCGCAAACGAGAATCTCGTGTATAACACAGCGAGTACCGCTACGACTGTGACGATGCCAGCTGCATAGTAGTCGGTACTCCTAGTAAGAGCTTCCAGTATCATAATGTAATGTGGGCTGGAATAAGATGGACGTGCAACTCCAATATCTGGATCGATGTAGAATGTGCGTCTGATAAGCCGTACGTGTGCAAGCTTGCTGCTTACCTGGATTCCCATAAGAGTCAGTGATCAAGCGTGAGCTTTGATTATCACTGCCTTTTGGCCTAACGGTTAATGGGCGTAACGGTCGAGGGACGACAGTCTCGGCTAATTACAATGTATCCAACATCTTATAGCACCTCGCACTCTGCTTGGTATTTGACAAGCAATTGAGATGCACCACTGCGATGACACGGCGTGGCCCGGGTGAGGGTAAGTCACTCTAAGAAGCGAATCAGAGTCCACAAACACGAATGCAAAGTAGAATCGCCGATCATTAAACTCTCCGACATGGCTAGTTGTTCGAGAACAAGTTCGGTCCGGTAGCATTCGAGTGGCTAGCCTGCATCTCGATGATGTACTTCGGAAGTGTCTGAACTGGCAGAAGTCAAAACAAACTTTAAGTGCTTAGCTAAGCTGTGCTGTCACAGTCCCCAGTGGCAGTGCACGACATTCACACTACTCTCAAGTGCTCCCGTACGAATAATCTTTCCATATTCCAGCTGGGTCCACTGGTGTTCCCCCGCGAGGTAAGTGCTTACGTTGTTTTTCGCAACTGCACCAACGTCGGTGGTCTCAGAGAGGGTTGATTCGGTATGTTGACGATATGTTTCAGTTCAGTGATCTGATTGAATCATCATCAATGGTGCTCTGAAAAAGAACCTGTATCAACTGACAACCACAAAATTTGATTTCTGCAAGTTACCGTCACGTTCTCATATTAATTGCATAAACCAAAGCGAGGAGCGGCGACAAATAATTCCATGGCGTGGAGGTGCCAAAGAAGACGTGGCGCCGATTGATGACGAAGAATCGCTAGCCACACCGTATTCTCCCGTATCGCGCTGGCCATTGCCCAATTACAGCCTGTGGTTCGTCGTGCCAGCAGCTCAGACTCTCCTGCTTAGGAAATCGTTGTTAGTGAACTTCGTATCCCATCAGTCGACGAGGGTTTTCAAATTAATAAGGAAAAGCAAGCAAAATGACCGCCTTTTTCCAAGGGGCTCTGCCAAATTTTGAAATACCGGACGTAGCAGTTGCTCAAGAGGACCATCCGATGAAAACCGATGAACGTCGTCACGAGTGACAACGCATACTTAGTACCACCGTGACAGTCCGCGCTGACCCCGCGGAGAGGTGGAGAACCCACGATTTAAAACGGGAACGAGGGAATATCATCATGTGGGGAGCATATTTATTTTGGGTGTTCTCGATGATCACGATACGATCATGGCGAGAAAAATGACCTTCCTGGTGAATCCGAGTATTTGCCAGCAACACAAGCTGACAACTGCTGGCGAGGCTCGAGCGTCGATTTTTAGCGGTATTAATTGTTGAATACATGGTATCCCATAGCAATAGATCTGCAAGAAGACCTGTTCAAGTTCTTGCTAAAAAAAAAGTTACACGAGCTCCCCAGGCAACAAATTCGGATACCCCAGGAGGATCCTTTAATTGGAGACCTAAATGGAGAGCAAGGGCAATGGAGATCCATGAAGGCTGGGGCTCCCCGGATTCAACGGTCTGTCCTAGATGTTCATTCATAGAACTCCGTAGAGCGCCGCACCGGTGAGCGCCAGATGTCTTACTAGGTTTTACTTTGCAGCAAAACATGTCAATGCCAGTGAGGGGTGCTCATTCACATTAATATTATTCAATTTATTGTTCCATCTCCATGTTCACCACTAGGGTGCATGCTTTGTGGAACAATGTAATACAGCGTGTCAGATATCGAGTGCATAGGAATATGTGCGCCATCCATCGATGGTCATTAAGCTTTTCCCTCATCGTCGAAGAGCTCGTGACTGCTCTTTTCATTGTCAGATCCGCCCTTGTGGTGACCAAAGGCGGTCAAACCAATACGGTCCGCAATGGCGTTCTGGCGTTGTTGATCCGCAACAGCAAGACCGTTACGGTCTCCAAATACATCGTCCATTTCTTCCAAAGTGAGTCCCTTGGTCTCGGGTACGAAAAACATGATGAAGAAGCCGCCGAGGAGGGCGAAAGACTGTTAATTTTCGTGAGACATCGAAAGAAGTAAATGAACAGACAACTCACGCCAAAGAACACGAATGTCCCAAAGCCAATATGAGTTAGCATTGATGGCGTTACTTGGCCGACAATGAAATTGTTCATCTGTTTGCCATGACGATCAGTGGACTTTCCTACGAATATGCCTAGAACGAACCCAATTGGACGATGAAGCAATAGAAATACCCTTGCCACGTATACTCAACGGCCAAATCTCAGCAACAAGGATCCAGCTGCACGGACCCCAACTGTAACCAAAGGCGACTGAGAATACCCAAACGCAAGCGCAAGCCACCCAACCAGCAGTAGGGTGTCTGGTGAGATGTTTAGTTCAAGGGAGATGATGAAATTTGGATGAGACGCACGATGACCAAGAATCGTGATACAACGCGGTCAGTACTGCAACGACAAGATGGCATCTATTGTAAAATGTTCAGAATGGCAAGTTTCATGCGCAAGAATATAATACTAACATAGCCATGATGAAAGCACCAGAGATCAACACTGGCTTACGGCCAACCTTATCGATCCAAATGACGGCAGGGATAGTTGCGAGGAACATGCTGATTGGGATGTGTCAGTCATGTACGTGAAAGTATGCGGTGATGCATACACAATGCCGACAACACCCGTGGCGAGAAGACTAGTTGCGTTGCCCGTCAAACCCAAATCAGCGAAGATGCTGGGCGCGTAGTACAAGATGGCGTTAACGCCGGTCCATTGCTGGAAGAACATGGTCCTGAAAATTCATTGGGATGAGTCCTATCGATGGAAAATAGGAACTCACATTGAGCCAACAGCGACACGGTAGAAGAGAGCTGGCGAGAGTAACATTAGCGTTCATAATTGATACCAATGCGACCAATTCGTACTGCGCGAGGTGAGTAAGCTCATATAGGCATGAACACCGAGCTTGAAATTTGATGAGAACGACCCATCCTGGAATTGAGGGAACTTCAAAGCATTCATTTCCTTTTCAAAGATGTACTGGGCCTTGATTTCCCTACAGAAGACTATGATCAGGAATATCAAGAGAGCAATGATATTATAACCCACAAGAACTCGATTTGGACGAGGTCAGAGTCCGGAGGAAGGCGGCGAGCCCTGCTAAGGACGGCGACAGCCTCTTCATCGCGACCTTGGTTGACAAGCCACCTGGACACCATAAGTTTTGTGACGTGTCATAGCAGGAGTTGAGACATGCCTTGGAGAGAAAGGCATGAAAATCACACCAACGCCTAGAATGATAGCAGGAACAAGCTGCATGGCCAATGGAACGCGCCATGCAATCTCGCTCTGCCCGCTTCCAGTACCACCGATATAGTTGGTACCGTAGTCGATCCAGAAGGAGATCAAAATACCAAAGGTGATAGCAAGTTGTTGCAGGGCAACCAGACTGCCACGGACTTCAGGAGGAGAAAGTTCGGCGCTGGTAAAGTGTCAGTAAAGACATACAAAGGGGATGCTATAGCATACTTGTACAGAGGAACCGTCATACTGAGCGATCCGACACCAAGACCAGTGATAAAACGCCCTGAGATGAGATTTAGATGCGAAATTTTGGACAGACTCTGAGAACATACCACCATATATCGACGAGGGCTGGAATGCCGCAGTTTGAACGACGACACCGACACAGAATACACCGACAGCTGCATGAATAAATCAGCTACACCCCCTAAAAAAAGCGAAGCACACTAACAAAGCATGATGGTGTATTTGCGGGAGAGCTTGTCAGCCAAATACCCGGCAGAGAGAACACCGACCCAAGCTCCCAGTTCTAAAATAGATACAAGCCAACCCTTGGTTCCAGGATTGGAGATGGCGTCCGCCATCCGCTGGTCGAATGAAAACATACTGAAATAGTTTGAGGATCACAGTTTCCGAATAAAAGGTGGCATGAAAGCTCACCTCAAGACGCCGGAAAATACACCCTGGTTATAACCTGCAGCGTGTTAGTACGAGATTGAAGAAAAACATAGTGATAGGGTCGCACCATAGAGCAAACCACCCAGAGAAGCGAAGACTGCGTTGGCAAAAATTCTGCGATTATGGACAAGGCCTGCCTGCGTAATGGGTTGAGTATGCAGCACTAGATAGGATTATTCAACGGAAGTTACCCATCCTGACTGGCCCTGCAGTGCTTGACGATGTTTTGCAGCATAAGGGCTTGCGCCTCCAGCGTGGCCTCCACCCATTGTTGTTGAGAAAAAAGGATTGCTCACTGGACTCAATCACAGATGCAGCTCTCCTTTATAGTGTCTGCATCTCCATTATTGATTTCTCATGTCACGGGATAAGTTCGGGAAAGATCTTGATGGAGCAATCAAAAGCCTGACAAAGGATGTAAATGGAGAACCTGTCCGGGGTGTGGGGCGGTGCGGGGAATCCTGGCCGTCCACGCAACAAACCCGAGAGGTAGGGTCCGGAACGAAATGAGTGATGATATGGATACGCTTCCGAGATTGCCGCAAACCCGGTTATGGGTCCGCATGATAACACTAGATAGTATTGCTGTGACCTGTCAGCAAGACCTTTATCCTCATGGATATCAATCCAACAAAATGAATAATTGGTTGAGACTGCGATCCCCGGTGAAAAGCAAGGAACAGAACTATCGACCGATACACAAGTTGAAGGTCCGCTAGCCCCGGAAACAGTCGGACCATCCTTGCTGTCGACGGCGGTAATCCAAGCGCGGAGGTAATTGGGATACTTGTGTGCTAGTCACTGCAACACCGTTGCATTATGCTCGATTTGAATCATTTGACAGTTGGTTATTTGAAAGGGAGTTTGTTGTAGCGTGCTTAGCAACGGAGTCGCGTCAGATCATTGAATTGACCACGTTGCATTGTGGATATATCAGACTCTGGGCAAATTGAGCGACAGCGTTTAGTTTCTTCAGCAGTTACACTGCAAAAGGAAAAACTGAGTCGGTCTGATCGGACATACCTCGATAAAGCACGCTCGGTGAGAAAGATTGAGTCTTGTCTTGATAGAGGAATCAAGTTATCGATGATCCTCTGAACTCTCATCTGACTCACGGCGGTCATTATACTCCAAGTGGATTTGCTGAGCTACAGCCCAGGACATCAAACACTGGTGATGATTCAAATATTCATGTGCCAACAATGAACGAGTTCGACGTAGAGTACAAGCGCCCAGTGGCAGTGCACGAGAAAGCTATGGGCGCAGCCTGAGCGTGAGTCAGGTTTGTTGCCGCCGTCTTGAATCCAAAATTCATCAAGTTTCTCTGATCTCTCACAATTTACTCGTTGAGTCACTTATAAATCGTCATCCAACATGTGGTCAGGGCATTCTGGTTATCCGACCAGTAACAATCAGAGTGGTACTAATGGCGCCCCACCTCAGTAAGCACGTCGATAACACCTTCTAGAGAGCCGCTGAATCCAATTTACAATCGCATCTTTCAGCTTCCCAAACCCGTATGTCAATTGTAGTGAATAGTTAGCTGAGCTGAGCTGATACGATGATTGTTCCAGTAATAATCAGGTTCCTCCTCCCAATCCACCTGTACACAACCCTACGTATGCTGCCCCACCGCCGTTTCCTTCGCACGGTTCCCAGCTGGCACCCAGAGGGTAGGTAACCAGTAAAATATGCTTTGTGTGTCTCACCTAATATTGACATCATCGATCCACAGCTTTGGACAACCACCAGTAGTATCAAGAGATAACTATCCTGGACACCACCATAATAGTGGTCATCCAGGTCATTTTACTGGCCACTATCCGCCCCCTCAAGGTCCTCCCACTCATTACGCACTGCCGCCTGGCCTTCCATCCTCATCATATGGTGCACCCCCCGCGCCTCCTCCGGGTAGGCAAGGCCCTCCACAATTCCTGCCACCCCCAGGTCCTCCTGGTAATTATCCACCGCCACCTGGACCCCCTCGTGGTTATGGTCCACCTCCTCCCCAGTGCGTTGTTTCTAATATCTTTGCATTGATGGATACCCTAACATCCATCAGGGTGAGCGGTGGCTACGCATATGCTCCTCCAAGTGGGTTGATCGATGAAACCTACAAAGTCGCTTCACATCATGATCTTTTAAACAGGCGGACCCCCACAGAGGCCACCCTATGATCAGCAGTTTTATGGCCCTCAAATGCAAGGACCCAATCAGATGCAGCAATCCTCTTTCCAATATTCTCAGTGTAACGGCAAAAAGAAAGCCTTATGTGTATGTCGTGCGCATGGACTGACACTCATTCACATCTGATGGCTACCTTCAAACTAGATCGGAATCAATTACCTCGGCCAGCCAGAAGAATTGCATGGCTGCATTAATGATGCAAATAATATCAAGCGTTTCTTGGCTAGTAAGTCTATTCCCTACGGAATGCGCGTAGTATGTCATGGAATGCTTCCAGCTCAGTTTGGGTATAAGGAGGAGGATATGGTCATACTTACCGACGATGCGAGAGACCAACGCCAAGCTCCTACTCAGCAAAACATAGTGAGTAAGCTGCCTATAGAGTTTCACTAGTGCTAACTGATGGGGGCAATAGCTGCGCGCAATGGAATGGCTCGTTCGTGATGCCCGTGCTAATGACTCACTGTTCTTCCATTGTACGCGTATCTTTCATGGTCATCTATTTGATTGTCATACACCCCAAATAGATTCCGGTCACGGAGGACAGACGGAGGACAAAGATGGCGATGAAGATGATGGGTATGACGAAGGTGACGATTACGTGACACTCACTTCATAGAAAGTATTTGCTAATCGTTTGCGGGATAGTCATTTTCCCGGTTGATTTCAAAGAGAAGGGTCATATTGTTGATGATGTGTGTCCCCGTTGTAGCCCTCCCTCGCCACTTTCTACTAATGACCACCTTTCAGTTGATGCACGACATTATGGTGAAGCGGCTTCCCCCGGGTTGTCGTCTCACCGCTATCTTTGATGTAAGTTCTTCTCGCCAAGAACCTAAAATGATATCCATGTACTAAAATTCTCGCAGTCCTGCCACTCTGGGTCAGCTCTAGGTATGAATAGATCAGTTATTTCCTTCCAGTGCTCATGTTAATTTTATATCTAGATCTCCCATTCATCGTGCGTCATCCTTACTCTCCACCCTCATCGTAATCTTACTTTTGTGCATTAGTATTCCACGGAAGGCAAGATCAAAGAACCAAATCTCGCCGCAGAGGCCGGCCAAAGTCTAATGTCTGCTGTGGCTTCATACGCTCGCGGCGATATGGGCGGCGTGTTCAGCACTGTAACGGGGTTGATCAAGACTGTCAGAGTGGATAAACAGAAAGCCGAGACGATATGTAGGACTACAAAGACGAGTCCTGCCGACTGCGTGCGTGAATTTTTAGTTGCTTTACATCACGCTCACCTCCAATGTAGATTTCATGGAGTGGCTGCAAGGATTCACAGACCAGCTCGGACACAGAAGAAGCGGGAAGAGCCACAGGCGCTATGAGCTATGTAAATTCCTTCATCCGCGCTTCTCACTTCAGCCTCTCATGCATCTTTCAAATGCAGGCTTTCATCAAGGCACTCAGTAAGTAATCTTGGAGTGTCATAATTAGCTCCTAATTTGACACGTTATCCGCAGAGGACAACCCGCAGCAAAGTTATCAGCAGCTGCTGAATTCCATCCGGTGAGTGCCTCATCATTTCGGGATTGATTACCGGCTTCTGATGAACTTGTTGGCAGTGTTATTTTAAGGGCAAAGTACAGTCAGAAACCACAGGTTTGTCGGTAGCTGTGCATCGTGCTGCGCTTTTCTGACTATTTTGAAATAGCTATCTAGTTCTCACCCGATGGTCAGTACCTTTTTCTACGAGCTCCTCAGTCTCTTACCACCTACCATACAGGACACAAACCTACTTTTCATAGCCTGAATCATATCTGTACCATGTATATTATATCATGTATGCTGACTGAATGTGGTATCCAAGATTACGTGGAAATACAAGATTATCTTGTCCAGTCAGGTTGCATATGCGTGAAGGAAAGATCAAAGATAATGGTGTTACATAACAGTAATACTAGCGCGGGTTTCGTGATGGACCTGGAATGCGAAGATAACAAGAAAACAGCGTCTAAGGGGCCGAGGAACGTCGATAGTCACATTCTAGGCCACGAGCATCGGCAAAATGTCAATTTACGTTAGGATCCGATACCGAGATTACGAATATGCCGCAATATGCGACGAGTATGGCGAATGATTAATGACACTTGACGCTGATTACGCGGGCTTCCCCTGCGTGGTCAAACTTGATTCGATCAGTTGCACTGGACAGGAAGTCGAACGTATGGTTTGTTACAGCCCCTGGTGATGAAGGCTCTGCATGCAACTGATCGGTTGTTGCCTCGGACGGGAAATCAAATGTGTGATCCCCTGAAGCCCCTGAAGAGAATGACCTTGCATCAAGTACTAGTGCTGAAAGCTTTCGGCCGTAAAACTGTGCAAAGATGATCAGTGCCTGTCCGATTTTCGATGGAAATCAACATACGCAGCCGGAATCTAAGCCGACGGACCACCTCTTGACATCTAGACCACGACCCGCCGCGTGGCCATACACGACAGTCGACGGATAACAAGGAAGATCAGCGAGTTGCTGGTGGCCTATGAGTCGTGTATTCGAGCCAAACTGAGTCTTGGGGGTATGAAACCCAGAGCATTTGTTCATGACGTCATTCCAAAGGTCAGAGAACGGGGTCCCTTTGCTGCTGCTGCGCGTGGGTTTACCCTTTTTGCGCACGCTCCTTATGTTTTGGACGACCCATGGATCTTGATTCTGTGGAATATCTGAGAGTAACGCGAGCTCCTGTGCTTTGCGTATAGCAGGAATGTCATGCTCGCGTTGCTCTATGGATGGCCAGTGCGACAGTGGTTGTTTATAATGCGTGAGTTTCCGGCTAGGATCCGCTGCAAGTAAACCAGCATGAACGAAGAACACATGTCCTGCCGGTGCGTGAAGGACGAGAGGGAGAGATCGCAAGTAATTGTATTGTGAGGGGGACATCGCTCGCGCAACCTGGTAGTGGTCCCCCAAAGGCTTCCAACCCTCGGGGACCTTCTTTCCCCAATTATGTTTCTTCATCAACGAAGGCTGCGAGTCGAATGTGAACATGTTTCCATTCTCGAACGGGAGTTCATAATCAAGCCAACGATCATCAACTTCTACCAGCCAGTCTCTGCCCCCGGGTTGAGCAACAATCCAATCCATCCAAGCACGCCATTCAAGGACTTGTTGGTCGTTGTTTCCACGAACGCCCAGAATGTTGTTGCTCTCCATAAACGATAAAACTGCCAAGGAGTCTTCCACAGGTCCTTTTGTCGCAAGGTCGCCGAGGTGTATCAAAATATCCTTCTGCGTGTCATAGGATATTCGATTTAACAAAGCGCTGGAAAAATGTGAGCGTTGAGCATGGTATGGATTTTTTTAGAGCGCATACGTTAAAGATTCATTCATGCCATGTACGTCGCCTATCACGATTATCCTCCTGTCTTTGTCATCTGCCATTCATTGGAGATCGTCTTCGATCGATAAAGAAAAGTCGACAACTCACTAGTAGGGAATTGTTCATCAGATAGCGTATGTGTGAAATTGTCGTAATGGCTGAAATCAGGGAATTCTGTAGGTCTAGGTGAGCTTATCTATAGAACCAAGGCTCTCAGGCTGGACTCACTGGAGTTGGGGTTCGGCCAGAAACTAACCCTGTTTCGTAAATCGCCTGTAGCAATCCAAAAGATGGAGATAACGAGAACTATGCCCAATAGGCAAGCATATAAGTTGCCTTTGTGCCTGGCCATGGCCTGAGGTGGAGGAGACGGTGTTAATATTAATGAAAGTTGACTGCATTTTCTCGTCATCTTACGTAACATTGATATATCCGTCATTTGGTTCACAGGTTAAACGTGGCTTCTTAAAGCCAAGCGACCAATTAAACGCTCATACATACTCTATATCCCTTCCTGCGATAAAACGTTGATGAGTTATGCAAAGACCGTGTTTGCGACTTTTCACCAATCTCAATATAATACCATATCGGCTACGCTTCAAGTTTCGAAGCTCGACAGCGCTGATTCGGATCATGGTACAATGGCACATTCCAAGGTTGTGCGAGTGCGATGCAATAACCGTATCTGCTAACTCGGCAGATCATTTGGAAGACTGATCTCTTGATCTGTCACGGAACAAGCCGAGGTATGTGTATGGAAACCTGACTCCGTCCTCAACAAGCTATTGCATGCTTCGTGAAGACACGCACATGATTATTAAATCGATCTTCTGTATCATTGTCTTGCGGTGGAATCATAAAGTGTGAAATTATAAATCTATTCTGCATTATAAGTACAATCCCAACGTTTCGAGATTCGAATGACTTACCTTCGTCAAGGAAGAAAGCCGGATGAAGAATTGGTACGATAATTATGCACATGATACACTAACAATGCGCGCCTGTCCGTTGTCTCCGAAAACGATCTCTTGTGATTGAGGGGCTTGTGCATGAATATTGTCTCCAAATTGGTGCGTAGCAGAAGAGAAAGAGCTTCCATTGAGGACTACAGCTGACAACCGACGGCCGTACGACTGCACATGATATTAGTCGAATCATGAATGCAGGATGTTTGTTTCACTCACACAACCAGTGTCCAGACCAATCGACCATCGCTTGATATCTAACCCACGGCCTGCAGCATGTCCGTAGATAACAGTAAACGGATAACATGGAAGCGAGGTTGGCTGGTATGATTTGCCCGCATTGGTACCCGAATTTCCCGAACACTTTGACATTGTATCATCCCACAATTGGGACCAGGGAGTTCCCTTTTTGGGACTGGAAGACACAATTCCTGTATCCAGAACACTTTTGATGTTCGTCACGGTCCATGGATCTTTGTTTTCGAGGATCTCTGTGAGGACTGCAAGCTCCTGTTGTTTACGCAGCTTTGCAATATCATGTTGGTCATGTATGGTAGGCCAATGGGAAAGAGGTTGTCTAGGGTCGGAAGCCTGGAGCTTCGGGTGGGAAGATAACAAACCGGCGTGGACGAAAACCACATGGCCAATGGGAGAATGAAGCACAAGGGGCAACGAACTTAGATATTCGAAGTGTCCAGGAGACATGGCGCGAGCGACCCTGTAGTGTTTGCCCAATGGATGCCAGCCAGTAGGCACCATCTTCTTCCAACTTGCGTACTTGCTCGTCTCGACCCAGTTTTCAAGCTCTGTTCTCTGGAGTCGCTTGTCTCCGTCGAGGTTAGGCCATCGCTTGTCCATGACGGAAAGCCACTCCCGGCCTCCCGGATGAGATAGTATCCAGTTCATCCAGGCGCGCCATTCGATCACTTTTTGGTCATTGTTTCCTCTAACGCCCAAGATTTTGTTCGATGACATGAACGACAATACGTCAATGGAGTCGTGTATAGTCGCCCTTGTCTCCAGGTCCCCAACGTGGATAAGCGAATCTCTTTTCGGGTCGTAGCGTATCTCGTCAAGTAAATCCCTGTCACAATGAAACGATGTTGGTGAGTTATTCAATGACTAGACGACAAGAGCTCACGTCAACGAGCTATTCATGCCATGTATGTCTCCGATTGCGATTATGCGTTTCCTCTGGTCGCCTGACTACAATTGTAAGTCTCTTGCACTTGATAACATGAAGCAATGAAAGACCTATTGGAAGCACACTATGGGGAATGTTCTTTATAAAATTTCCATTATAGTGGCCAAAGTCCGGGAAGTCTTTGATCGAAGTGAGTCTACGTGGACAGCAGTGGTTGATTCAGACCAAGGACCTACCAATCTTTTGATCGAAAGCGCGATTTTTTTTGACCTCTTGGAGGACTCCGGTAATAAACACAAAAGTCAGAAAGAAGGCGAGAACTACGAATGAAAAACAAGTCCTGAGATTGTCCCCTGACCATATGGACATCTTGTCCACTGTCAAATTCAAATCATGAACGTTAGTTTGTCTAGCAACCGTGAGAGTTTTTCAATGGATCATAATTGCGGGGTTGACCGATTACATATATCTGACTGCTTGTGCGAGTACTTCAAGGAAAGCTTAACCTCTCGCATCAATATATATACCCTCCATAGCGTTTCTTCTATCCACTTCATCAAAGTACTCGTTGTTAGCTGGCCCGACCCACTTCCACGCGTTAAACTTCACAAATTCTTCAAACGTCCACAGCTGTGCCCGGAGTTCTGAAGAGGGAAAGCACCATACGTAGGTATTTACCTCTACAGGGTTCGCTAATTCAGATAGCATAGTGATCGGGGGAGGCGTCGTGGGCAACAGAGACTTCACCTCAATCGGTGGTATGTCCCGTATGTTGGCCAGCGGTCCTAGTGGGTATACAGACACCAACACTCTTGTATATTGCTGCGAGGAGGGGTTGATTTGTGCCAACGGTTATAGAAGTGACTTGCAGGACTCACGTCGCCTTCAAAGATATCAAGAAGTCGAACATCTGCGTCCGATAGACCGGTCACCAGAGTACCTCGCACCGATTTCTCTTCCGAATTGAGGTCGTGATCGAACATTGCTCGACTTTGCGAGTACGGCAGGATACCAGGATAATCCTCATTCTTTCGGTGTGTTAGATCAGGACGCTAGCGGGAGGAAACATCATCGTTCACCTTGAGCTGGTGTCTAGTGTAGTCCTGGAACGGGGATGTGTCAGGGTGATGATGGGTAAGATTTCCTGGGAGACTAACCGGCAAGAGAGCAGGGCACATTTGAAGTTGGCTGCCGTCGTTTCCGATGACTCGTTTCAATATTTCTGGATGCATCAAGGTGCCATAGAAAAATGCGGATACCATTCTCAGAGGAATAAATGTTAAGACAGAGGTCCGATCTTCACGAAGGACTGGATGGATGAATGGGCCGACCGCCTGCACGCTTCAACTGATAAGTTAGAAGCGTTTGGGTTGTCATGTGGCTAGAGCTGCTGATAAGATATACTTAAAATGTACTTGATAGGTACTAGAAGCCATGGCCCATGGGCTATGTCGTCGCTCGTCTGGCTAAGGGTGCACTTTCTCGTGGGCAAGCGAGTTGAAGAAAACCAGTCAACAAGTCAACCCTGCTCAGTGCGATAAATGCCAGGTTGGTGCCAGCTCTGAACCCCTTCTAAGTTGCGGTCCATGTTGACCGTCCATTCTCCATACACGTGACGTCGTGACTCCCGAATAAGAACCTTTGGCGACTTGTTTTGCGCTTCGCCCAGCACCTTAAGTTTTCAAGAGCCAAGCTTGCTGGTGAGTCGTGATGAAACAGCACAAGACTACACCCTGAGTGAATTCATGTTTTGCAGCTTCAAAATTTTGACTCATTCGATCACATTTCTAATCAAAACTAAGCTCACAGGTTTTGTCAGCCTTGCACAGCGAACACAGACCAGTGTGACAGTGTCTCTATGTAGACTGATCTCGGGGGCAGTGGGGTGTTTCGCGGCACTTACGATGATCTTGGTTGTTGCCAATTTGACAGTCGAAACTTAGTTCAGCAACTTCAGCTTGTCCTTGAGGAACATTTTCGACTATAATCATGATATCTTTGCCCGAAGCTTCGCTTTTAGCGTTATTCCTAGAGACTTTGTTTTACGGTGCGTCACCAACCTCTAAAAGAAGTTATAATATTCAATTTCTTTCCTTATGTAGGCGTGTTCTTCACTTTTTACTGGTTGACCCTGGGCACACTGCTCAAGAAGTATGGTATTCAACGGGACCTCCTTCTCCCGGTAGCAACCTTGCTGCTTTGCATTGCAACGGCTGTAAGTGTAATCACACCCTTTGGGAAAATAGCTCGACAATGTCGTTAGCATCTAATTATCGATTTCATTCGAGCGCTAGAGGCGTTCGTTCTCAACGTGGATACAATCGGCGCGGATGCCTACTACTCCAACCTCGCTTCGCCATTGGAACTCACAAAAACCGCACTTTACATTACGCAGCCCACTGTCGCTGATAGTGTCCTTGTGAGTTTCTTCGCTTGCCTTATCGTTCTCCCTTGAATATGGCAGTAGATTTGGCGATGCTATGTGCTCAACAATAGAAGCCTCTTGGTCGGCATTCCTGGTTGTATTGCGCTGTTGGCCAATGGAGGTAAGCATCTCGTCGAAAGATATCATTCGAGGACCACCTCATCTCATGATATTTCGCAGCGATTGGGTACTATATTGTCTGGTGCCTTTCTCGAACCGTCACAGGGACGAGTGTTTATACCACCATTCCTGGGTTGATCACAACCTTCTACATATTGACCATGCTTATCAGTATCGTTTGCACTAGTACGTTTATTCTATGGCTAATCTGCAGGCTTATGATGACCAGGATATGACAGCTTTGATTTCCTGGCGCATCTGGCGCAGTCGCCGTTGCATCTCAGGCGGCTCCGCTGATCTTTTACCCGTGCTGATCGTCATCGTCGAAGGCGGTGCTATATATGCTACCAGCGTCCTGGCACTCCTTCTAGCATTCTTGACGGGATCAAACGGCCAATACCCCGCGATGGATATTGGCCCTCCTGTTGTGGTGAGTTTACTTGGCTAAAACGCAACTGTTTGTAAGACTTTTCTTTAGGGAATCGTATTCTGCCTCATCATCCTGCAAGTACACTTCCGGGTAGGTAACAACCCCCAACCCAGCAGCCCATCAAAATCCTTCACCAATCTCTTTGGAGAACAAGGAGAGCAGAACGTGGGCTATGTCATAGAACGGATGATTGAGGAGACAGATCATTCAGTTTGACGTGCCAACGACTCTCAGGAGATGACTGTTGAAAGTTGGACCAATGTCTAATTTTGCGCGGGCGTATGCTTACTAGTGTCCTTACATCTCTCATTAATATTGGTCTTCTGCTGCAAACCAGTCCATGCCTGCCACCTTTCAACTGCAAGATCAATCCCACTGATGCTACTGGTAAGCGAAAATGTTGCCCACGAGAGTTTGAACCCAAGTTTGAGCTAGTATCTGAGAGGTATGCTACTTGGGATGCCGAGTCGCTCCGAAGAGATCAGGGTACTTCAGAGCGCTCACTTTGCAAGGCCTGAGCGCCTGGAATCGCGCTTAGGCTACACTGCAGATTATTTCCTGTTGACCACGGATACAAAAATCGTATGTGACTACTGTATACAGGCAGTGTCAATACAAGAGTGAAAATCGTTCAAAGCATCTGCTCATACGTCTACGATATCTCTAGTGTCCTGATGTCAATGATGTCGTGAACAGAAGTCATGTCTTTAACTTGCGCAACAATATCCCGATTCGAGGCGATTCTCTTGTATTCTCCGCTGTGTTGCCGCGCTAACAAAAATGCGCTGAATGGCTGTCCAAGGCGAACAATCAATCGCAATGCTCGAGAATGAGAATCGATATCAACCGGCTCATTTTCTCCAAAAGAAAAGGCGAGCGAATCGAGTGATGGAGAGCTAGGAGCAGCCAAAATTTTCATGTTCTGCATATCATCTGGAGGATTGGGCAGCTCGAGTAGGCCACGATTCCATGGACGGACAAGCAAGAATGTCTGCCAAGGGGCCAGGGGTCTTGTCGACGAGAACGGAATCAGCCTGTCTTCCGTGGTAATCAGCAAGTCAGCAAGTCCGTCTGTCTTGACTTCATATACGGGTGTCTCCTGGTCTTGACCTTGTCTCCGTCTGACTTCTACGATAGGAAATGCGATACATGGCAGATGCAGCCGGCGGTGGGAGAAACGAGGAGCGCTCAGGTTGTCGAGTGTGTTGTATATTCTCAAAGCCAACTCTACAACCCCAGCACTTCGTAAAGAGGAGACTGATGCCTGGATGTCATCTTCAGAGAGAGATGGTAGCACGCATGGCGGAGCTTCGTACGATGTGATATTGGCTGGCAGACAACTATTGAAGTCGGATGATATTCCAACCCAATCGAGGGCAGTAATGTCGCCCGATCGACCCACGATCTCCTGCAAGAGTCGCCCGAGTGCGTTTTCCTTCATCTCACCATAGATTACAGGTAGGTGGACGCCGAATATGCCAAATAACGAGTAGGCGATGTCTTCCTGTAACGTGGTGGTTCGTGTCGACGCCCATCGAAGTTTCTCTCGTGCTCCTCTCATCCCCGGGCGGAAGGCGACGAGGGCCTGTGAGTCTATGCCCGTCGCATCCCCCAACTCCTGCATGATTGCAACAGACTCCTTGTGATTAGAAGAGGGGTCGTCGAGATATATGGTCCAATCTGATTGGTAGAAAAGAAGAACTTTGGGTGCAAGGAATTCCGGAACGGTCCATCCCCGCGTGTTCCAAGCGCTCTTCGCCAGTGCGCCAGACTTTGACAAAGGCGGAACATCCGACAGGTAGATGATGGTGAGTGATGATTGGCGATACCAGGAAAACATGGAATTGAGTGATTTTTGGAGTTCGACGTTGTTATTTTGGTCGATGCAACATGTGTCAACCCATGCCCAGCGATAACCCGCCTTGCGAGCAACTTTGCAGAATGACTGCAACTTCACGATGCCTCCAACTGGATTCAATTTATACACGACCTTCTCCTGGATGTCGTACAGCAGGGGCTCCTTCTCTTCCCATCTATGAGATAGCATGACACAGCGGAAGTACATCGTAACCGATTTTTTGATGCGTTCCATGCGAAGGTCTTTATGTTTCATTGTCAATAACAAAAGCTCCTTGTACCTTGTACTTGATTTGAAAGAAGCAATTTGTGCATCTCGATCGCACAAGTACCCAGTGGAGGTGTTGAGTAGACGAAGTGGGGCGTTTTCCATTTGAATGTGAATGCTCTTTCGTATAGCACCGTCCGCTTCAGGTGGGCTGAGATACTGCTGGCGCAGCTCTGGAGAAAGGGTCAAGCACTTTGATGTAAGCATTAGTCGGGGCTTACTTCGTATTTGCGTCTCGGGAGCATTATCCAACTTGGAGAGCATGATTTGGAAGGTCTCGATTGCTTCGTCATAGCGCTGTGCGCCATGAAACGCTTCGTGCTTCAACTGGTATCCGATATAATACGATGGGTCGAGTTCGATGACCTACATATGTATATCAAGATTAAGTATTGACCACGAAAAGATAGATGTCATCAACCTTTTTCGCATCAACGAGTGCTTCCTCCCACAGCGCTTGTTTCAATTTTGCCTTACTGCAGTTGACAAATATGGTTTCGTTTGTGGGATCCAGCTCGATCGCCCTCGAATATAGAAGAATAGCCATGTCGTAGGCACTCGCAGCGAGTGCAACATCTCCGTTGGCAGCATAGAGCGCGCTGCATTTTTTCTCGAAAGCTGAGTGAAATGCAGGTGAAGATTTAGCATGGGTGGGATGATGAAAGACTTGCCAGCGGACCAACGAAGGCAGCTGGCTTTCGTGGTGTCATCACTCCCATCCATCATGCATCTGTACGATTCAACGGCTTCTGGAAGTCTACCTGCGAGAAGGAGCGCGTGACACAGGTTTTCATTTGCTGTTTGCCACAAAGACTTGAGGTCCCATCCAAAGAGCTGCATAAGCACGAGATTTGATGAAACAAAACATATCTCCAGTTGCATTATATTGACGTACCACCACAAAGTCCATATATTGAGATAGAAGGGCTGATTTAGACGAACAAGTACCAACTTTGACAGCAGCTGTAAAGTGGTCAGCCGCTTCGGTGTGACGCGCGTCGTTCAATGCATTGATTCCAAGTTGAACACGTAGATACGCCTGATATGTGATGTTAAAAAAATCAGTGCCAACTGCACACGAGTGTAAGCTGGATCAACACTCACTTCCACGATACCACATGCAAGAGTATCGGCGTTGGGACAAGAGGTGGCTAGCTCTTGGACACGTAGAATTGCATCTTCATGATGATTTGCATTGAACAGTGCGATGGCCTGAAAATTGATGAAGTACTAAGGAGTACGGGAGAACTTATTAGCATGCCTTAATTAAGAGAAGACGATGGGTGGTCTTCGAGTCTCTGTCAGTAAACATGGATGCGAGATCAAATGCCCTCATTGCGTCTTTGAAGTGCTTTTTTCCACAGAGGGCGATGCCTTTAGAGGTGTAGCCCGTGAAGGAGGGTTGAATGCTGACAGACTATGCCACCATGAAAGTCAGGATGTTACTTTCTTAAGAAAAGAATCAGTGTATCTCACCATAAGTGCATCACGAAGCGCATAGTCCCAGTCGTGCTTTCGTGCCATGACAAATGAGCGGTTGGCATAGGAGATATGATTGTTGGGATCAGAGTCGATCTCTTGCGTTAGCAGGTCTTCAGCGACAAGCAAATCACCAGATATGCATGCATTGCGGGCTATCGTGTTTATAGCGATATTCTACATGAAGCATGTTAATACCGTGTTGTAAGAATAAAGAGTGAAGCTTTAAAACTTACCTTGGAAGCAGGTAAAACATCCTCTGGTACTGCCCACTCTGATATCTTCTTATTCCCTCCTCCACTAAGAATGTACTCGCCATCCAAGGAGAAAGTGACGCAACGCATCCAGTCAGAGTGTCGGAATATGGCAATAGTTCGTCTATCTGAGAGTTGCCAAAGGCGGACAGAATTGTCATACGATGCGGAGGCGGCCAGGGTAGCAGCAGAGTTGACTGCAATGGCGCAGATTTGCTTATCATGGCCTTTCCAGGGACTCCCTCGGACCTGCTCCCAACTCGTTGAGTCCCACTCTCGTATAGTAGGATCGGCATTTGTGCCTGCTGAGAGAAGGCGTTTACCATCAGGCGTCCACGCGAGTGACTTGTTGAACGGTCTAATGCTTGCTCGACTGATCGATGTATGAGCTGCGTGACCCTCAAAGATTTTAATGCAATCCCTAGTGTTCGGATCCCATATTTGAATGTCTCCAAGTGTCGCAATGGCAAGATGTATACCAGATGGTGAATACCGAATGCAGTTGACATAATCATGACAATCGATAGGTTTGTCTTGCAACCGCCACGTTTTTGTGTTCCAAAGCTTCGTTTTTTTGTCCCATCCGCCAGTAGCCAACACCGCGCCATTTGGAGAAAAATCCAACGAATCAATGCCAGAGTGAGCTTGGAAGGATTGGGTGAGAGGTTCCCCAGTGTCCCCGTCCCAGATGATGAGCACCCCCTTCTCATCACCGCTTGCTATTAATTCCCCGTCTCGTGATATCGCCACTGCCCCAACCCAGTCGCAATGTCCTTCCATTTTCTTCAACACCACGCCGTCCTTCAGGTCCCAAAGACGAAGTGTCTTGTCTGCCGAGCCTGTAACCATTCGTCGCATATCGGGGAAAACTGCGACTGCAAGTACCGCGTCCTCATGATCTCCAAATGCTCGATTGGGTGTGGTGCTTATAATGATGCCCTGCTCTGCCTCTTGCACCATTCTTGTGTGGGTGGGTTACTGTCGATTGTAGGGATTGTGCTTTCAGGTGCATTACGTGGACATCTTTGTTGAGTCAAATAAGCGCTCAAAGCCCATGATGACGTTCTTCTGTACGCTGCCATATGTGCCAGACCACCGCTGGTCGAAATTCGACACCAATTTGCAATTCTCAAATAGTCAGGCGCGTGCGTTCTTCGCTTATCTCTGTGTCTCTGATCCTGCTTTTGCAATTTAGCATTGCCCGCGGCGCATCACCTATTCGTTTGCAAGGAGACGGCTATACACTGCACTTTCATTCAGGAGTATGACGTCACTGAGACATTCGAACGCTATTTCCAAGAGAAGAAGAGGAAAAGACAACAGCATACGGAACATCACATCCAAAGGTGAGCGGAGCGCTTGTATTGACGTACAAGCAGACCTGCACAGAAATCCCTTTGAAACGACGAGCTGTGCAGCGGCAATCACCTGTATTCCATAAAATCTGGCCAGATTTCACAATCAGACATGAAAAACGCGCATGTGCAATTCATATACCGCTTTAGGTAGCTGTGGATATCGTGTGCGGTGCAAATTGTAAATCAGAAAGGCATCTTTCCTCTGGTCTGCATCGCGCAGAACGAAAAGAATACTTGAGGACAGGATCATTTGCAAGACATAGCAAGGGTAGTGAGGCGCGATTCGGTATATGGACCGACAGTAAACACGGGAGTTAGGACGGCGAGGTTGATCAGAAACGAGGCTCGGGCGCTTCAGTTGCACAGCCTGCGAGAAGCTGTGAGGCGAACACGAGGAGGTCCCAGTTCAAACTTCCAGTACACTTTTGACCTAACGCTCGTTGTGTCTTGCTGTCAACACGTCGTGACCTGCTGAGGAATATATATCGTTGTAAGTGGTGATTCCAAACTTTGTGGGATGAAAGCTGAAACGAAGCTCCGCCTAGATGGCTTCACCCTTCGTTGAAAGACAGAAGACCTCGAGGATAATGCCTTGCCAGAAATTTGAGGGACACACCGGTTCGGTCTTCGGTGCCATACATCTACCAGGCGAACAACGGATAATGACTTGTTCAAGGGACGGCTCGCTGCGGGTATGGGACTTGAAGAATGGGAAACAGATAGGAGACGACTGGCGGGACGGAGACAGTCCAGTGTACACCATAGCGTTATCTCCGTACGGGAAGACGGTGGTCAGCGGGAGTATGGATGGCGGAGTAAGGTTGTGGGACCTGGACACAGGCAAAGTCATCATGAAATGGATGGGGCATACAGAGGCAGTGAATTCTGTCTGCTGGAGTAGAGACGGTCGGCGAGTGTTGAGCGGATCTGACGATGGGACTGCAAGACAATGGGATGTAGAGAGCGGAGGGACAAACCTCGCACCAATCAACACAGGGCACAAATCCGTGTTGGCAGTGGTCTATTCGCCAGACATGACCATGTTTGCAACTAGCGTATCCGAAGATTCCGAACACTGGCATGCCAAAATTTGGGATGCCAAGACAGGGAAGCTTGTCGCCACTCTTGAAACAGCTGATTCGGTGTTGTGCCTGGCCTGGACTCCGGATACAAAAACGCTTATATCAGGGCCATTCGATGGCTCGATTAGGACATGGAGTACTACAACTTGGAAACAGATCGCAGTGTTGGATGGTCACACTGAAACTGTCGAATCCATTGCAATCTCTCCGAATGGCCGCATCCTCGCAAGCGCATCACATGACACCACAGCACGATTATGGAACCTGGACAACAACCTGCCCATCGGTTCGCCCCTCCAGCATCCATATCCACATTACGTGACTTCTGTGTCATTTTCGGCAGATGGAAAGCTACTAGCCACTGGCTGCCTCGACGAAAATGCGTATACATGGGATGTTTGTGGGATACTAAGAGATGCTGGTCTTAGCGAACTTCTGTTACAGTCGAACAAGCCAGTCAGGCCTCAGGCTTGCTGTACGTAGGATAACGTGACACTTTTTTATGATCAGGTCTTGTTTGCTGAGATCCTATCCTATCCCTTCTAGGCTGATAGGCTACTATATGCTGTTCCTCTTCTGAGTATACTGACGGTCATCATCAATCTGTTTCTTTTTTCGTCTTTCAAAGATTTCCTTTGTCATTTCTTATAATTTCATTGCGCTTCTACTGATTATACCCATGATCATCAGATATATTTCGTCCGTTTTCTCGTTAAATACATATGTACATTGGCTCCGATCACATCAAGGAGGTGCCGAATAGGCCTATTCAGTCGACAGAAATACTTGCCTACAGGCCCCCGATAGGCTTCTCGATACGCCTCAGAAGCACGACCTCTCCAGCCTCAGTACATGCGAGTGAAGTCAGTTGAACCTTCGACGAAGGCCCAGAAAACGGCAGAGAAGGAACCAAATAATCTCAAGTCCTGGATTCTGTCGGAACGCGAAAGCATATCGAAAACGAGGATGCTCACCAGTATCGAGTTTCGGAAGCTTACAATCGCTCCCAGTACTTGACCGACGAGACCATCCGCTCTGCATAGCGTGGGGTCAATCTTGGTCCGAATACCAATAAGTCCTCCCGGAAATGCAAACTCCAAATGATTGTTCTTAGCGTGCAGAGAGACGATCCTGCTGAAAATGGGCTTGCACGGTTCCAGCCCTGTGTCATTTGTCACGATCCCCGGACGAATCTTCACTTCTTTCCCTAGCCCGTAGGACGTCTGTGAGGATAGAACACCACTTTTGAGCTCATCGACCTCAGCAGCAGACATGTTGACGTCGGAGGAACGGATAACGATGAGACGGGGATCGGAAGCAAAGTCGCGGACTGACATAGGTACACGCTTTATAATATATTCATTGACAGTGTCGATATTGTATTTCGGCTGCGTATCAGAATGATGGGTGACGATGAGCGGTACTATCGATAGCAGCCTGGGCGGGGGCATGCCTCGTTCCCGCATTTGTAGATCTATGAAGGTACCCAGCTCAATCGATGTTAAGAACCAGCTCGTTTTCAATCGTACATTCATGATGCCAGATATGGCATTTAACACTGTGATCGATCGTTCTTGTAGAGATAGCTCGATTGTTCCACTCGGAAAGTTCTGCGTGCCCAAGTCGATTATAGCCTGGGAGGATGAGTTGCTATCTTTGGGATATCCTCGTCAGCTTTCAAGTAGCATCTAAAGAGTGCGATATCCTCTCGAGCAACTCACCTCCATCACACTGGCCACATGGAATACTAAATCAGAAACGAACTTTAGTACGCCAGCATCCTGGCACGAAATTACTGTACGCACACCATAAGGTGCATGATATACATCAGAAAAAAGCTTCCCTGTTAAAGTAGAGCTAGAAGACAAGTCTCAGCGTCGTGAAGAGAACCGCTAATATTAATAGTACCTAGAAGACAAGTCTATGAACGGAACGTAATCAGAAAGAGACGGCGTGCAAACAGAACGTGATACATACCTCAGCGTCGTGAAGAGAACCGCTGAGGTATGAGAGACGAGAGAGAACGAGTTTATAAGCTATACAATAGAGTCCGGGATATTAAAGACGGAAAAGGAAAAGAGCTGAGAGCGATGACGACGTTGTACTATCAACACACCCCCTCAACGAGACAGCGCTTGACACGAACTTCTTCAACCAACGACGAGGGACAGACCAGAACGATGATGCACGAAGGCAGGGCGAGGTAGAACCTTTGTAAAGATATCGGCGGTGTTTTTGTGGGTAGAGACCCAGACCGGTAAGAATGTATTGGCCTCGATATGGCGTCTGATGAAATGATATCGAAGGTCGATGTGTTTCGTCCGGATGTGATTCGCAGCCTCTTTGGAGAGGGCAATGGCACCCGCGTTGTCGGCGAATAGTTGCATGGGGAGGGGTAAGGGGATGTTGAGAGTGGCGAAGAATGATTGGAGCCACAACCCATCCTGGATCGCAGCAGTGAGTGCCATGTATTCTGCCTCTGTCGACGAGAGAGCCTGGGTCGTCTGCTTCTTCGCCGAGTGTGAGACTGGACCGCCATTGAAGAACCACACATACCCCGAGATCGAGATTCGATCTTCGGGGCAGGACGCCCAATCAGAGTCGGAGAAGCCGTGAAGGTTGGGATTGATTCCTGCACCCCCATAGTGCGTACGTGTGCTGATCGTGCTGGCCAGATAACGTAGGACGTGCTTCGCGGCACAGTAGTGTTTGGGTTCAGCACATACATTGTACTGTGCCAGATGCATGACGCTGAGTGCGATGTCTGGGCGGGTGTACATAGCGAGGTACAGGAGTTCTCCAACCAGCTTGCGGTACTCTGACTGGAGGTCATCGACGTGGGGAAAGACGTCAGTCGCACGGCCAAAGGGAAAAGATGGATCCATTGGGAGAGAGACTGGGTTGCAGTTGGTCATGCCGTGCTCCTCAAGTAGATACACGATGTAGTCTTCCTGGTGCATCCAGAGTTCTCGCGTCTTGCGGTCTCGGACGAATTGGATCCCCAAATACTTCGTTACGGCGCCGAGATCAGTGATGCCGAAACGCTCGGCGATTTGTGCTTTGGTGCGATCTAGAAAACCTCGGTTGTTTGCCCCTGCGAGCCCATCGTCGACATGCCAGGCGATGATGCAAATCACTCTCACCCCCTCACCATTGACATGATTGAAAACGAATACGGCGTAATCAGCTTCACACCGGAGGAAGCCGAGACTGGTGAGGACCTCACGCAGGAGTTCATACCAGTCGTATGCAGCCTGCTTAAGGCCATAGAGTGAAGAGAGCAAGTGGGCGACTAGACGAGAACCATTGGGGTCGAGGCGTTCGAAGCCAGGAGGCTGTTTCATGTACACGTCCTCTTGCAGCTTTCCCCAAAGGAATGCACGTTTCACGTCGAAACAGTCGAGTTCCCAGTTGTGGGCGGCTGCATAGGCTGAGATGATGCGAATAGAAGCCGACTTTGCGACAGGCGCGAAGGTGCGTCCAAAATCGACGCCAGGGATTTGAGAGAAACCTTGCGCCACCAGTCTCGCTTTAAAGATGGGTCCTCCCTTAAGATCTTGCTTGAATTCAAGCACCCACCGGCAGCCTATAGCACGACGATCCGGAGGTAAGACCACCAACTCATAGACATTCATTTCTGACATCAAGTTCATCTCTTTTCGCATCGCAGCCAGCCAATGATCACTGTCGGGTCGTCGCATGGCCTCGTCGAAGGTTGCAGGTGGTAACTTAAGGTCATAACCGGGCGTCAGAGGATTACGGCGCGTGTCACTTCGCACAGAAAGTGCGGCAACCTCGACTACGATCAGGTTCGCAAGGACCTGTGAGAAACCAACCTCTTCGTCATCCACGGGAATTGAGCCTGGGTCTGTTGCAGTGTTGGCTGGGGGACCTGGCATCCTGGCAGGAGCATCGACGATAGGTGCATCCGGAACGGGAGTGTCTGTAGTAGGAGGAGGAATGCCATTGATACGCGCGTTTCGAATTTCTCGTTGACGTGCCAGGCGAGATTTATCAGCGACAATGCGACTCTTAAGTAACTCACCCTTTTCAGTGAGCACAGGGATGCGACCTGAACGACGAATGACAGCTGCATGAGGAGGTGACGCTGGAGGTGCAGGAGGTGGTGCAGAACGCGCAGGAGGAGCAGAATTGTCGTCGTCATCGTCATCGCTGTCAGGGAAGGGACGATTGGAGAGGGTTTCATCAAAAATGACGTCACGAGAGTTGAAGAACGCGCCGGTGGCGGCATCGCGACAATGCCATGCTTTCACACCGGGTGGATACCCCATGAAGAGTGCTTCACGTGATCGGGGACCGAGCTTCTGCTGCAGTTCTGTTGGAATTCGTGCAAAACAGCGAGCACCGAAGACACGGAGGTGGGCGAGATTAGGTTGGACACCATGCAGCATCTCGTAGGGAGTCTTTCCCGCTGGGAGAGCTCGTGATTCTGTCCGGTTGAATAGATAGGCAGCGGTGAGAGCCGCTTCTCCCCAAAGAGATGGAGGCAGACGTGCAAAATCCAGCATCGCATACATACGACCTTCGATCGTACGCATCACCCTCTCTGCCTTCCCGTTTTGCTGGTGAGCATAGGGGGCAGAGCGTTGACACTGGACTCCCATCTTATCCAGATTCTCATTGAAAGCCTCACCAATGAATTCCCCCCCGTTGTCACTCCGGAAGATCTTAACACGTCGCCCAGATAAGTTTTCCCAGCGCGCACGTAATGTGCACCAGGCTTCTAGTGCCTGGTCCTTTGAGGCCAGGAGTTGGAGGTCAAGGACATGCGTGTGATCGTCGATAAAAACAAAACGATAAAATATCGTTTACCGTGTGGAGTTACCGTCAGGATGGGTCCACATACGTCGCTGTGGACCAGATCGAGGAAGGTTCCTGCGCGTTCAGTCTCGGAGGAGTGAAAAGGTTGATGCGGGTGTTTGGCAAGAATGCATGATTCACAATGAGATAAGGGGGAGGAGGACTGAACTGTGACACCTTTGGCCACACGGTTGAGGCGCATGACAGCCTCTCTGCCGATGTGCCCGATGCGAGCGTGCCAAAGGTCAAAGGTGAGTGGGACGTTAACGAACGCGGACAGCTCTGGTGCAGCGTGAGTTACAGTGGAGTCGGTCAATGGAATGAACTCGATATTTGGCGCATATAGCTTCCCTGTCGCAGGGATCGACCCGAGCATCGTTCCTTTGTACCCGAGCTCACAAGTCATGTTTGCTCGGAAGTTCACATCCCAACCCTTAGCGTTCATGCAGCTCACTGACAACAAGTTGAGCAAGGCCTTGGGCGCATGAAGACAGTTCGAGAGTCGAATGCATATTCGACGTTTACCGATGTTTAGCCAGGCCACACAATTTCCCCGTCCCCTTGTCTGAAGCACGCCATGATTGGCAGTGAGGATGTCGACCGGATTCTCCGTTGAGTATGTGTGAAAGAAACGGCGGTCCTTGACCAACGTGACAGTGGTCCCTGAGTCTAGGATCGTCGTGAAAGGGAGTGTGACTGCACAGGAGATCTCGTCGGAGACTTCGGCAATCGACGCAAAGGACAAGTCTTGCATGAGGCTGCTAATGTCGGCAACGGCTGCAGCAATGACAGGTGCCGTCTGCACAGGAGGTGCAGACGTCGTGGTCGTGGTCGTGGCTGCAGCAACCGCTGTGCTCTCCTTAGAACTGGGTTTCTTGTTGCGCATCCATGGAGCCTGACCCTCCATACCACCCCCCTTTCCGTAACAGTGAGCATGGTCGTGATCACCCTTATTACAGCCCGGCGTAGTGCAGAAAATGCCCTCAGGGTTGTGCTTATGCTTACGGAGGCCAGTGATGGCGTTGATGCCCGCAGCAGGTGCAGTGGAAGATGTGGCCGCATTGGCATATTCAGATCCTGGGCGTGCAGTGTGAATGGACTGTGAGTGTATGTGACGTGCGGCCTCAGCCGTTATGCACGAGACGCAACTGTCCACAGTGAAGGTAGGTACAGCGCCTGGTAATGCGGTCATCACCTCGTCATGCATTCGTTGCTCTAGCATCGACCGAAACTGCTGCCATATGGGGGTCTGAGGAAGACCAATGAGTAGGCTATAAATGGCATCTCCATCACGCATGGCAGCACTTGAGTCTCTGAGACGTTCACGAAATACTGCGTGCTGACCAACATAATTGGTAGCATCGGCGGAATCTTTCATTCGTAGTGCATCTAGACGCTGGTGAAGCTGATACTGGGCACTGGTGTCGGTGCGATTGAAATGCTCAGCGAGCGTCTTCCACGCGTCGCGAGCTGAGACAGTGTGAGAGTGTGATACCAGCGCTCCGACAGATGCATTGAGACGATGGGTAATGAGGTCTTTAGCCTTGATGTCACTTAACAGCCATTCCCGAATTCCCGTTCTCTCAACGGCGGTGATGTTGTTCGGATCAACGGGGACAGGCTTAAAGGACGGCGCTCCGAGTAGGTCTGTTGGGTCAGGATTCGTGTTGATGTGGCACCAGAGATCTTCACACGCAAGAGCGTATTGCATCTTCGTGGACCAACCAACGTAGTTTTCTGTACCCAATAACTCGGGAATATGATCATATTTGCCCATGGCGATACCGCCGTGAGGATGGGAATGAGATAAGACAAGTGAGTGGCGGGCAGGCGCGAGTAGACTGTCTTGTAGTTCTGTCTGATGGCTCTATTGAGCCAGGGCTCATAACCTGTTAAAGTAGAGCTAGAAGACAAGTCTCAGCGTCGTGAAGAGAACCGCTAATATTAATAGTACCTAGAAGACAAGTCTATGAACGGAACGTAATCAGAAAGAGACAG